GAATCGCGAATGAATCCCATGCTATAAAAGCAAGCTTTGGTTTAGATTGAAATTTTTTTGCGTTACAATGCAAAGTAGGAGACGCTGATACAGAATCTCGTTACTTCCAACATCCCCTGATTCAAGAAGTATTTATTACTCATTCTCGCTACCTCACCTCCCCGTCTTCATTATGAGCTCAAGTGACTTAAAACAGCAGTGAGCATACCATGTTTGCATGGCAAAGAAGGAGTGCAAACGCTCACATTTGCGAAACGGAATCATGAAAGTGTCTGTCATGGCTATAAATCGATTGCTGCTTGTTACCTACAACCCAATCTCTCTGAAGCTCTCGTGCGTGAACTGGATGAACAAGGAACAGAGAAAGAGAGATGAACACACAGACGATTTGTGCAGCGTACAACTTGTTGCGTTTCTGTTTTCTCTTGCCCTTTTATTCAGCGATTATAGAAGCATGCCGTGGAGATCGCGGAGTCCCCGACTAGGCCGTGCCATCCCACGTCCTGGAGCTTGCCCACGGCGATCCTACATCTACGGATCAGAGCGCACAACCACGACTCTGTCCTCCTACAGACCTGGGACTCCACAAACTGAGTCCCGTTTATCTGAAAACTCAAAACGACACCTAAGACTGAAAGTGTTCGTCCTAACTGACGAAACTGAAACAAACCTAACAGCTAGATTATTCCAACAAACTCCCCCTAAGCTAGCTGTGATCTTATTTGACATCCACCATGCCGATGAGTGCGCGGAGCTCCTGGAAACGTGTGCGCCCGAGGGGTTTAGTGAGAATGTCTGCGATTTGCTCCTCCGTTCTGATGTGCTCAACGCAGATCTTCTTGGACTCGACACACTCGCGGATGAAGTGATAGCGCACCTCAATGTGCTTGCTCCGATCATGAAAGACAGGGTTCTTGCACAACTGGATGGTTGATTTGTTGTCCATGTAGATGGTGATGGTGTCACTCTGCTTCCCGATCATGTCCTCCAGCAAACGGCGCAGCCATGTAGCTTGGCATGCCGCTGATGTGGCTGCGATGTACTCCGCCTCGCACGAGGAAAGCGCCACAGTTTTCTGCTTCTGAGATTGCCAGGTGATCGGGCTGCCACCGAGTGAGAACAGAACGCCGGTGGTGCTGTTCCGGTCGTCCATGTCACCAGCCATGTCCGAGTCGCTGAAACCAATCAGCTCCTGATCGCCGTCCTTTGAATACCTGCATCCATAGCTCCGCGTGCCCGCGATGTAGCGGAGAAGATGCTTGACGGCCGCCAAATGTTCAGTAGTTGGCGCCTTCATGAACCTGCTCACGTAGCCAACGGCGAAAGAGATGTCAGGCCGAGTGTGCACCAAATAGCGCAGACACCCGACGATGCTCCGGTAGAAGGTGGCGTCAGTTGCAGGGTTATTGCTGTCCTTGCTCAGCTTAAGCCGCGGTTCCATCGGCACAAGTGCAGGGTTGCACTCTGCCATGCCAACGAGCTCGAGCAGCTTGCCGGCATACCCAGCCTGAGACAAGGTGATGCCGCTCGCATTCTGGCGCACTTCGATGCCGAGGTAGAAGTGAAGCAACCCGAGGTCGCTCATGCGGAAACGCTCCATCATCTCCTTCTTGAAGCGCGTGATCTCCTCTGCATTTGTGCCGGTGACGATCAGGTCGTCGACGTACACCCCAAGCAAGAGCCGTGAGCGCCCTTGCCCGCGCGCGTACATGGCGTGCTCTGATGGGCTGCTAGTGAAGCCCAGCTCCTTGAGTGTGTGGTCGAGCTTCATGTTCCACGCCCGTGGTGCTTGCCGTAGGCCGTACAACGCCTTGTGAAGGCGATAGACCTTGTGCTCCTCGCCGGCGTGAGCAAAGCCGGGCGGCTGGGCGACGTAGACCTCCTCCTGCAGCTCCCCGTTCAGAAACGCGGATTTGACGTCGAGGTGGTGTAGCTGCCACTCCTGCTGGGCAGCCACGGCCACAAGCAGCCGCACGGAGTCGAGGCAAGCGACAGGCGCAAAGACCTCGTTAAAGTCGATGCCCTCGCGCTGCACGTACCCCTTGGCGACCAGCCGCGCCTTGTGCTTGACAACTGCGCCGGCTGCGTCCTTTTTTGTCTTGAACACCCACTTTAAGCCAATTTGACGATGTCATGCAGGCAAATTAGTGAGCGTCCACGTACCATTCTCCTTGATGGAGTTAAGCTCCTCCATCATCGCCCTCCTCCAGCACTCGTGAGGTTCGGCATCAGCGAAGTTCTCCGGCTCGTCGATGAAGAAGAGCCGCTCCGCCTGCCTCGGAACCTCCGCGGCCTTGTCCAGCAGGTCCGCGACAAGCCTAAACCGATGTGGGCGTGCTGGATCATCCGCATCATCGAGGATGCTGGCGAAGTCCGTCGGTGGCGAGACGAACTTGATTGGCTTGTCCTTGCTTGCAGATCCACACCCTGTCGCGGCAGAGTTTTCTGGCGTGGCAGCGTCCTCTAACGAAACTGACGGCCTGCTCAAGCTTGACAACGAGACCGCATAGCTGCATGAGATGGAGCGCGTCCTGCTCGTCATCGGCGCCGCCGGCGTTGTTCTGGACGAGATGCGCCTACTCCCTCTTCTTCTTGCGACAGTCACGGGCCCAATGTCCCCTCTTGCCGCAGTAGCAACATTCGTCGTCGCATGTAGGCCCGCCATCGATCCCAGTGCCGGCGTGGCTCTTGTCGCGCGCGCCGTCGCGGCCGCGATCCTTGTTCCGGTTCTGCTTGTCGGAGGAGTTCCCCCACCGCCGCTAGAGGGAGCACATTGGTTCATGCGGGCGCGCCATTGCTCCTCAGTGAGCAGCAGCTTGCCGCCGCCCGCGTCTTCCTCCTCATCCTCGCCGTCGTGCTCGTCACACACCTTGAGACGACCCGTGAGCTCCTCGATCGACATGGTGCTGAGATCAAGCAGGCTCTCGATGGAACGGGCCATCTGCTTGTACTGCTTGGGGACGAAGCGCAGGTACTTGAGGATGATCATCTTGTCGTCGATGGGATCGCCGAGAACCTCCAGCTGCTGGACCAGCTCCTGCAGGCGCATCCCGAAGTCGTCGACGCTCTCATCCGGCTTGAACCGGATGTACTCGTACTGCTTGCGCAGCACCTGGGCCTTGGACTCGCGTACGCGTTCGGCGCCGATGCGGATCGTCTTGATCGCGTCCTAGGCCTCCTTCGCCGTCTTCTTGATAGTGAGCATGTAGATCATCTCCTGGAGCACCGCCCGGAGGATCGCCTCCATTGCCGGGTGATCGTCGTCGTACTCGCCTTTTTCTGTTTCAATCACATTCCACAGATGTCTCATCTGAAGGATCACGCGCATGAGGAGAGATCACGAGTTGTAGTTGGTGCGGGTGAGGGTTGGCCACTGCGTGCTCGATCCGCCGCCCCCGTTGCGCCCATAGCCCGGAACGGCGAGCGCGCGATGATCACTGCAGCGTCCCGAGCGCCTCCTGCTTCTTCTTCGTCTCCTCAGCAGCGGCTGCATCGCCCTGCGTCTTGGGGTTGGAGCCATCGCCGGCGCCCTTCGGCATCGCACCCTTGCTCATTGCAACCTAGGCTCTAATACCACGTGTTACCTACAACCCAATCTTTCTGAAGCACTCGTGTGTGAACTGGATGAACAAGTAACAGAGAAAGAAAGATGAACACACAGACGATTTCTGCAGCGTACAACTTGTTGCGTTTCTGTTTTCTCTTGCCCTTTTATTCAGCGATTATAGAAGCATGCCGTGGAGATCGCGGAGTCCCCGACTAGGCCGTGCCATCCCACGTCCTGGAGCTTGCCCACGGCGATCCTACATCTACGGATCAGAGCGCACAACCACGACTCTGTCCTCCTACAGACCTGGGACTCCACAAACTGAGTCCCGTTTATCTGAAAACTCAAAACGACACCTAAGACTGAAAGTGTTCGTCCTAACTGACGAAACTGAAACAAACCTAACAGCTAGATTGTTCCAACATGGAAGTCATGGAAATCAAGGAATCATGAAAGTGTGTGTCATGGCTATAAATCGATTGCTGCTGCATGAAGAAAATAATAGTCGTTGTCATCTGCAGTAATCGAAGATGAGAACTGTAAGCGTTCCATGACATGACCGCTCTAAATATGATGGGCGTCGTTATTGTCAATAATCACCCTTCATCGGATCTAATCGAGAGCTGTAGCCTTTTCTCACCGATCAACATTTATTTGTATAGTCCATCGTCTTTCTGGAACTAATCACCATCTACATTTCGTACCTATATTACAATCTCATTTTTTCTACCCCACGCGAGAACTAGAACAATCGGCTCAATTGACTGATGTGAGATTGAGGAGAAGAACGAACGGTAATTAGACCTCATCTTTAGGAGATTCTCAGCTTAATGATCCGTACTGTGGCATTTCTTTGTATGACGAACCAAATCTTGCTCGAATTTTAGAGCATCTTAAGATCAATCATCTTGCGGAAGACTCGGTCTGTCTCACTTGTATGTTCTAATCTCAATTAATTAGTACGTTGAACTTGAACTGACAATACTCAGATCCTTTTAAATACATAAGGAAGCTTGAAGAAAATAATGAAATGACTATAAAACTATGAACATTCATTTACAATACAGACATACTATTTCAACGCATACCTGAGGACCGACTCAGATCATGTCAGGTTTGTAACACATTACAGAGTATGATATTATATAAACTATGAATTTAGACATCACAACATCTATGATAAAATAGTGCATCCGAATCGAGTTCTTATTTTATTTTACTGTTATAGATTCCTTGGCTTTTGTCATGCTGCAGGGAAACTGTTGAGCTACGGTTAATTCAACGTGAGTATGCACTAAACATCAAGCGGGGTGCAGCAGCATATTCTGCTAAATGTAAATGATTGCCTAGGAACAAAGTGCAGAGTAGAAGATCACATGCCCAGTCTTACACTTCTACTAACGGTTTCTAAAGCAAATGATGCATCTGCCCCGTCAGTATGAAGAGACTATCTTTGCATCTCCAAAAAAGTAGTTGTAGCCAGCCCAGCTACCGGATCGTATGGACGATCGTGAGACTCAACAGATTAATGCTGATTTCGGTTCTCGGCCAAGGGAGAATCGGTCTCTTATTTTTTTTATAGCACCTTATTAATTAGCTGGAATTGCTGTACACAAATGCTCGGGGATGCCTAGCAGGTTATCGAGATGAGCTGGTGAGCAGTTCGATTCGAACGCTCGCTGACAAAGTTTGATGAAACTTGTGTCTTCATAGTGGCATCCCCACGAGCTGCGAGGCAGGTTCATGGCAGTGCGGGACCTGTGAACCCAAGTGGCACGAAATTTTTAACGAATTCCAGCATCGGGGCTTCATATTCCGGACGTATGGAACGTGAGTCGGCCCGTCTGAAGACCTAGCAAATGAAATGAAGATAGTTGACGGTGTCCATGACCAATGGAGTGGTGCAGCGGTAGCGCCATTGGCAGACCTTCAATCCTGGGGCCAATGTTAGGTGCTCACGGCAACTGCTGCCGAACAATGTGAAGCTGAATATCTTCTTAAGTCCTCCGAGGAGGATCTTCAGAGGACTTCGCAGATTTCATCTCTGGGTGGTGAGGAACTACAACTGGTCTTCGGGGTAAGAACGGTGGCCACTATGGAGTCTGGAAGCAATGAGAAGGCGAGCTCGTCGGAGCCCGCAGAACCAACATTAGATTCCATGTGGAGGTCGTTACCTAGAGACATTCTACTGACTGTGCTGCGCAAGCTCCCGCTCGGGAGCCTGATGACGTTCCGTTGCGTGTGCAGAGAATGGAACGACCTGTTCATGTCTAAACAATTCTCTTCTTCGATTCGCGGCCACAAACTTGGGAAGCTCCTTCTGCTGCGTCTAAATCAAAATGGAGCTCTCGAACTTTACGTTACCCACAAGCTTCGCTGGATATATCGTCGGGGTTGGAAGATCCCTTGTCGATACTCTCGCGACATCGGGTTTGTGGATACAGAGGCCCCCGAGTATATGCAAGCGCGCAAGACAGATCAGGGATGTGACTCATTACATGACAGAGTTGTCTTTCGGGCCAAGGATAGACCTCGCGACCTCGGGTTTAAAACTAAATACCCTTCAAGCCGACGTCCGAGATATCGCTTGCGCGCATCATCTGACCATATTGTCAATCATAGTCTTAAGGGATATAAGGTGTTCGCATCAGCTGGGGGCCTGGTAGTCTTTGGTGACATGCATTGCAACAGACAATCGCTTCTCCCAACATTCATCGTCGCCAACCCTTTGACACGACAGTACCATAAATTGCCGACTTTGTACGGCGATCTACAGCAAACCCATAACTCACTTTCCTGCAACTTCCGTGCATTAGATCACATGTTGTGTGGGATCGATGTAGATCTCGGAACAGGGCACTACACTTTCATAGTTGTTGATACTCATGATGAGGAAATTTACGAAGATTTCATGTCGGTGGATACTCATATGGTCGGTGGAGAGGAACTTTACGATGAACACCAAGTTTATGTGTACGACTCCAGATTCCATTCATGGCGAAGTCATCAGAAATTGCCCGAATTTGTAAGGGGTACCAATATTTTCATAGAGGAAGGGCCGGATTGCGATGAACACAATATTCCATGCGTGACGAAGGAGGGAAAGTTTCACTGGATAGTGACACGAATGCTTGAAGGGTATCCTCAGCAATTCCTGTATATTTACGATGTGAAGCTGGACGTTTGGAATTTTGTGCCCTGTGAGCACAACCCGCTTTCCGATTACGACCTGATTTACAGATGTGTGGAGCACAAAGGTCAGGTCGTAGTTCTTGCTTTTAATCCTTCTCTCGGGCGTATTCATAGATACCAAGTTGAGCATACGGGAATCATGACAGAGAATTTTAGTCCGTTTGGCCAAAGAACCTTCCAACTCCGAGAGGCGGAGCCCATGCCCTCGATGTATGATGATAATGAGTTCACTTCCTACATAGACAGAGATGGATATTATGGATTTCATGAAGATTGGCGAAGAATAGAGATCAGGGGGTTCGTGGGAGCTGGTGACGAAGTTATTTATTTTCTGCGTGATTATTATCTGACGAAGCAGATTTGGCGTACTCCGATGTTGCGCTATTCTGGTGTGGATAAATCTTGGAAGTGGATGAGCAAATGGGTGCCTGCGAAATACGATAATTACCCACTTTGGCCTCGTTTAATCTGGACTTTCCTACCGTCACTCGTCAGCCCTGGGTAGATCGGGGGTAGGATCAAGCATCCATAAGTCCGATGGCGAGCACCTTGAGTTCTCGTAAGTATATGTTGACGATGCACAGAACTGTGGGAGATGCAAGTATAATCACACAAGACTGTTAAATGTTGGTGCTTTGTGAGAATGTGACACCTGATGAGGTTGTATCTAAAAAAGTCGATAAATGCCTGTGTTTTGAATCTCCGAAACTTGTCGGTTTCATCGGATTCAGAAAATAGTATACTCTGTATACGCAGATTTCTTCAAGGCAGGCAGAAAAGTTTCTACCTGCCTTGAAGAAATATCGATATGATTGATCCAGATGTGATGTTCACAGGCATGAAATCGCCTTATTGGTTATAAATTGTGACTGATAAAGATCAGAGTATGGTAACTCACCTCGAAGTTGTAGTGAAGATGTGGTTGGCTTTATTGACGATGACAAGAGTCTGGTCGAGAGTATTCCTTGTCATCCAACTTGTTCTCATGCTTCACAGTCTCTCATCTTTTCATCTTTATTTACATCAAAAATGATGATTGTTCATAATATATTTAATAATATCAACGTATTCAATATGACTAATTTTTGTATAATTTATCAACATATCTTCAACATTACATGGATAAGAAATCACTGGAATTGTACAATTGTCCTGATATAGATATCTATGATGAGATTTTTGTTCATTGTCATCAAATTTTTTTTAATGCAATTATATATTAAAATTACCATCTTTAAACATGTTAATATTAAATACCGCTTTCATATGACTATTTTATTTATGAAATGAATCAAATAGTTGATCATTATAATTTTGATCATGATAGAAAATGTTTAATTAATAATTTTTTTCCTTTTCAAATTTTCTTTTATTTATACTAATACACTCGAAAATATAACTGAAACATATTATGATGTTGTAAATGAATAATAGAATTTTCTTTATAATCAAAAAATGAAAATAAATAACTGATAATATAAGATTTTGATTGTACATTAATTTGATGACTTGAATGAATATTGAAATTTTAATTTAAAATAGTGTGTTAATTTTGCAAAAAGTTGCAAATAAAAGTTTTAGTATTTTCAAGATACTCAAAGATTAGTTATCATATCAACTTAGACAAAAATAACTTTTACAACTTTCAAATATGCTGATGATGCAATATGATTGACTTACAAGTACTGTCAATTTCATAGTGTTTAAGTAGCACATATAATATTTTCATATTATAAATCTGTTTTAAAATCATGCACCAGAAATGTAAATAGAAAGTAAAAGTAATAAAAATTCATACAAATTTATCCATATAATAATTTTTAATTCAATTTTGATTGAAGATATTTATGTCAGTGGTATTGTTATGATTATGATTTCAAATTATCACTAGTTTAATTGACTAGAATACCATATCAATTTAGTGAAAATATTCAAGAAGTTGGTTCACTAAGTTATGAACCAACTTCTTGAATTTATCATGTTCCAAAAGATGCAAAAATGACAAGTCACTTTATTCAAAGCAATTAGACTAAAGCGTATACTTTTGATGCCATTTTAGAAAACAACATTGGGCAACTAACATCTCAGAATCCTGGTCTGAGTTTAATTTATCCCACTTTAATCTCTCTCTTCGTGAACGTTATTGATGACTTTGAATCTATAAGTTTTTCCTTCCATATCTTTTTAGAAGGGTACAATTAACTAGTATCAACTACAACACACCAAACACTTTCGAAGCAAACATTGAACTTGAATCTTTCAAAGATCAAAGCCATGACATTCTTCTTTTGGGATTCGTATCCCCAAAACAGAGTCCACGTTTCGTAGTAGGGGAGAAAATCATAAAGTTCATGGTAAAGAGTGTGATCACACTATGGCTGATTATAATCATCTGTTAGGTGATGATGATAATTGTACTCTGTGGCTTACTTCCGCTCAAGAAACCGCAAAATTGTAGAGACTCAAGGTTAAGTCAGACCGATTAAGACAGATAACATTTTAACTTTGGCCTTGGCCATAGATACAAAGCAGGGGGTTTAACTAACCCTAACCCTAATTTCACTATCATCGCTAGCTAAGATATCGATAATGACGTAGTAGGTGGCAGTGCTTCCAAACGGCACTTAATAGTTTATCGTTACTGATAGGCTTCTAGTACTGTACCGCAATCCAGGTGGCAGTGTGAGCTATTGTTATCACCAACACCCTCCCTTGCTTCAGACATGCTTGTTTTGAACGCTTTTGATGATAATCAATCGCTATGTCTATTACTTACGAGGAATTGATTGTGATACACTAAGATTTGTACTGGTTTTTGGAAGAATCTAATCTAATAAGTCCTAATTGTTCTTTGAGCCTTTTGAAAGCTGTTTTGACTAAAGGTTTAGTTATTATGTCTACAAGCTTTTCGTTTGTTGAAATATAAGCTAGGTTAATTTTACATGATGCAATTTTTCCTCTAAATGAAATGATGACAAACCTCGATGTGTTTGGTTCGTCCATGATAGATAGGATTTTGATCCAGGTTCAAGCTTCCCTGGTTATCGCCGTGAATGATGGTGGGAGCTTGAAGATCTAGCGCATGAATTTTACCAAGGAGACGTTGTAACCAAACAACTTCCTTGGCTCCTTTAGTGACGGCCATGTATTTGGATTTTGTGGAAGACAAAGCCACGATTGATTGCTTCTTGCTATTAGAGGTGATCAAGATTCCTCCCAAGAAAAAAATGTAGCCAATGGTGAACTTCATGTCGTGCATGTCGGCCGTCTAGTGAGCGTATCTAAAGTCTCGAAGCTGTGTATCCTTCCCTTGCAAGTGTGTTTTCTCCCCTCGTTGTGTCTCCTCCGCTCGTCGGTGGAGTAGTGGGAGATCTGATGTACCTTAGAGGTAGCGATATATTTGCTTAACAGCCTGAGCATGAAGCTCTTGGTGGCTGTTCATTTATCTACTGACAATGCTAACAGTGAAGGCAATGTCGACTCGTGTGTGAGTGAGGAAGATCAGCTTCCCGACCTTTCTTTGATATAGTGCAGAATCGGCTGGAAGAGCTTGCATATCAAGCAACATGCGCAATTTCTCCATCATTGGCGTGAAAGCAGGTTTGCATTTGTCCAATCCAAACTTGGTTAGCATCTCACGTATGTATTGTCGTTGAGTGACGGAGATCCCATCAGACCGAAACATGAACTCTATCCCAAGTGAGAATGAGAGGAGTCCTAAGTCACACATCTCAAAGTCCTGTTGGATCTCACTCTTGATGAACGCTTTGTGGGCATCATTGTCACCGGTTAGATTTATGTCATCAACGTATAGTAGTAGCATAATGATTATAACTTGATCAAGGTGAAAGTAAAGGTTGTAATGAACTTGAGACTTTTTAAGTCCTTGGCTTCGTAAGTACACACCTACCTTCGTGTACCAGGCTCGTGGCCCCTGCTTAAGATCATACAGAGCCTTGTGCAATTTGCATGCATAGTCAAGTTTCACTGAGCCATCAAAACCGGGGAGCAAACATACGTAGTTATCCTCTTTGATATTGCCGTTAAAAAATGCAATTTTAACGTTTAGATGAAATATATTTTAACCGTGGAGTCTTGCTAGCGCCACGAAACTCTGGAGAGTGTCCCATTTGACAACCGAAGCAAATGTTTATGTATAGTTATGTCCAGATATCTGTTGAAAACCCTTAGCGACGAGTCTTGCCTTGAGCTTTGTAGTCGAGCTATAAGCGTTAGTGTTGACTCGATACACCCACTTCGTGATGATGGCCTTGGAATCAAAAGATAGGGGAACTAAATCTCAGTTCTCATTCTTGTTAATTGAAGCTAGTTCGTTATTCATTGCGCTCTTCTAGCCTGGATGCAAGAAAGCAGCATTGATACTGATCAGAAGACTAACCTGTGGAGCATACTCAATAAAGTGCATGTAGAAGTCCGCCAGTCGTGACGAAGGCATGGGAGTGCTACTGCTGCAAGTGTATGACGACACATAGTTAGGTGATGAAGTATCGGTGTGATCGAGAATGATTGGAGCACTAAGAGCATTCTTGCGTCTCTGATAAGTGTGCAGGGACAACATGGCTCGATGATTGGCATCTAGTTGCATGTGAATGTTGATGAAGAAGTCATCGATGGAAGCTTCAATAACTGATTGTGAATGCTGATGGTCAGCATCAAGTGAGCTCCCGTGATCATCTCGGATTTTCAAATCAGATGCGTCTAAAGAAATTTGAGATGTAGGTCTAACGTTGCTTTGAAGAATGATGCATGATTTAAAAATCATGGGTTTGAGGCATGGAGTTGAGCCAGAAGGTGAAGCTGGAACGTTCGTCGCAATGGAAGTATGCTATCCTTCTGGGAGCACAACATCTTCGGTGATATGCCATTCATCTATTGAAGGCAACACCATAAGACTGTCGGCCTTAGACGCCAGTGAGGAGAAAGTATAGTGGTGTTCGTCAAACTAAACATCCTTAGACACAAGTATCTTTCGTGTCGATTGATTATAACTCTTGAAGACTCTTAAGGTCTCATCATTATCCTAGAAGACACATTCATATGAGCGAGTAGTCCATTTCTTCCGAGATGGATAAGTGTCGAGTACGTAGCTACGACATCCAAAAATCCTCTGATGGTTGATCAAAGGAGTGTGGTCAGTGAGCTTCTTATAAGTAGTAGTGTTGTGATTTGCTCTAGTAGCGTATCTAATCATTACTTAGTTAACAGTTGCTACTACTTTGGGCCACAAATAGGAAGGAGTATTGTTGACGAATGCCATACATCTAGCCTTTTCTAATAAACTTTTGTTCTTCCTTTCCGCTATCCCATTTTAATGTGAAGTATGAGCTTGGGCAAGTTGTTTTACTATACCTAAATTGCTATAGAAACTGAAGAATGCCTTGGAGATGTATTCTCCCCCTTTGTCAGATCGAATAATCTTGATTCGATGACCACTCTTAAGTTTTTGGGTAGCCTTGAACAGTCTAAACTTAGACAAAGTTTCTGACTTGTGCTTCAAGAAAAATAACAATGTGAAGCCACTATAGTCATTAGTGATGGTGAGAATGTAGTGAGAATCTTCTAGTGATGGAACAGAGAGAGGCCCGCAGATGTCAGTGTGCAGCAGTTCTAGTGAACTAACTGTGCGAGGATGTTCATCTCGCTTCAAGCTGCCAAGTTGTGGAGGTGCACGCTTGAGCTTCGGCTCTTGACACTGCTTTTTTGAATGGTAGGGGGTAAACAAAAACAAATAGAATGACAACCGTGGCCTTGGGTCTTGCCATGTGAGCTCATGAAAGCAATGATTTTGAAGCTCGCGTGATCCAAGCGATTGT